TCATAAAGACTTGTCGAAAAAATCTGATTCGTGTTAGTGACATTTACTATTCAAAGAAATCCGCCCCCGCGGCTCAGTCTGAGATCCCAGCCCCCAGGCTAGCGCGGCCGCCCCGCGCAGGCGACACCACAGCCTGCACTCGCCCCGCGGGGCGGAGCGGCCTGCAGCGCCACCGGCCCGAGAGCCTGGAGGAGGCGAGTGGGTCTCCAGCCCAGATCCACCCCGAGAGCCAGCACTGCGAGTCTAAAGCCCCGGGAAAGGAGGCGCCACCGCGAGGGAAGCGGGGACCTGCTCCACCCGCCCGCGCCGCACAGGCAGAATGCAGGCTGCTCAGCGCCCTCCCGGCCACGCCTCCCGGCCACGCCTCCCGGCCACGCCTCCCGGCCACGCCTCCCGGCCACGCCTCCCGCCACGCCTCCCGGCCACGCCTCCCGGCCACGCCTCCCGCCACGCCTCCCGGCCACGCCTCCCGGCCACGCCTCCGGCCACGCCCTCCCGGCCACGCCTCCCGGCCACGCCTCCCGGCCACGCCCTCCCCGCCGCCGACCCTGGGGCAGGACAGGCAGGGGGAGCGGCCTGGCGCGGGCTGGCACCACTGTGAAGCCCTGGACCCAGAAAGCTGCCCCTGCCAGGGGTCAGACCCGTCGCTGCTGCCTCCCCACCGCCCCTGCCAGTCTCGGGTGGGGGGCAAAAAGCATGGAAAACCTATTTGAGGAAATTATTGAGATACAAGTTACACGATGGTCACCAAACCCAAGGAAGATTCATAGCAAATAGGACATCTCCAAAACACATAGTCATCAAGCTGGCCAAAGTCAAAACGAAGGAGAAAATTCTCCAAGCTACAATAAAAAAGAAACAACTAACTTAGAAACGAAACCCATCGGACTAACAGCAGACTTCTCAGTGGAGAGGTTTCAAGCCAGAAGGATAAGGGCCCAATTTTTAGTCGTCTTAAACAGAACAACTGCCAGTCAAGAATTTTGTATCCTGCAAAACTAAGTTTCATAAATGATGGAGAAATAAAGATTTTTGCAGACAAGCAGACACTAAGGGAATTTGAACTAGACCTGCCTTACAGGAAATACCCCAGACGGCATTACATCATGGAACAGCACATAAACACCACCAATATAAAGACCCCTGAAAGTTAAAGCTCATAGCTCTAATAAAACAATAGCACAAAGAGAGAAAACAAAACAACAGGTATCATCCAACATGATGAACAGAACCATATCCTAGTCTCCCGCATATCAACACTAACACTGAATGTGAACAGTATGAATGCCCACTTAAAAGACACAGACTGGCTGAACAGATGAACAAAACATACTACAAGTACTATGGTCTCCAACAAACA